TATCAGGCACAATCCTTCCCGTTAGGGGTTTAGTATCATACCGTCATAACATATATGAGAAGAACATAACCCGTGTCATGCCAACAACTGGTTTTTAAATAAATGTGTTTAGTTCCGATGCAAAGACCCTATAAGTGAATCAATATTAACGCCAAAATATGCAATCTTTAATGACCTGACAACAGTATCGTAACTATATCCCTTCTTAATAAGTCTATTTAAAGGTTTTGTTAGCTTCAGAGGTGAATACTGACATATTGATTTATTCTCATTGGAAGACTGGGAAAACACATTGCGAATGAGGTTCAACGCCAAAAAAATACATTGTAATAAGAAAAATCTCCTCTGTCATACACTAGAGTGACTAGACACTCTCGAAGACAGCAAATACATAGGCGTAATGTTTCAGTAACAACTAAACCTGGGTTAGACAAATTAATAATACAGTTAGCAAAGGAAATAAGACATTACGATTTATGAGCCGAATCCTTTAAAGCTACACAAAACCTGTTTAGGCAGCAGCATATAAATCCATGGTATGAAATTTATGTGTTTCCCAACACTGCGCAAAGTTTTCGTGTGGAACTAATTACATTAAAAAAACGAGATCGGTTCACTATCTGGAAGTCGAAAAAGGGACAAATTATACATTAACCTTAAGCAGAGACATATGCATTGTCATATTTACTGTTATATAATGTAGTATGAAAAATACAAAACTCATAATTAAAGTTCAAAGCTACAAGACAACGCCGCTGTCGTGAGTTTATAACATATGTTACACACATGAACACCTAAACAAACACATATATTATATGCATATATATCTACACATTATCATATGATTTATACGGCACACAACATAATAATGCCAAAAAGAAAACAACTGTCCAGTCCTATCAATCTTATTTTATTAATAATAATAAGAAGGTACTTATTTAAGAAAAATATACAAAGTAATTTTAGTGCCGATCGATTTTGCGCTGTCGTGCTGAATGATCGGAACCCCGTTTCGGTGGGAAAATGACCGTACGTTATGTACGACACCTATATATCACGAAAAAGACGAGGAAACACATTTCCCTCTAATTCACTACTTCTTCTTACGTATCCAGTTATCCATCAGATTTTTTATGATTACTAACTGCTGTGCATGCGTAGGATATGTATCAATAAATATTTACACTAGAGTCAAGCTATCCAGCAATTTTCATCCTGCAATTCTCTTTATAAAAAGCTATCCTGCAATTCGTCATCCTGCAATTGCGTTTGGAAAACTACTTGAGCGACAATTTAATTTTTTTTGACTTTTTTGTTCGAAAAAAAAGACTAATATAGAAAATCAAAGATTTTTATATCATATTAACAAATTTATAACTTTTGTTCACAATTTCTAACTCATTTATATTTACAGTTTTGTAACTAGCATTTACAATAGAAAAATCGTGATGACGATTCAAACAAATTGTCATTTATGATATTATTCGTATTTACGACTATTTATCTGACATTTGTGATGTATTAAATTTATCTTAAATTTATCTTATCATCTAATACCGACAATGCAATTTCTGTTTACAATCTGCTTTAATCAAAAGCTATTGGATAGTGCTACAGTGGAATAGTATCGAATTTCTGAGGTAAGCTTTCTTAAAGGCCGAAAAATTTCGTCCGAAGCATCGAAAAAAGCCATATTCTACAAAATGGTCAATCGGGATATCCATTTTTCAAGCAATTGTCTCGGCAGGTCTCCAAGGCTAGGGATTACAGACTCTGCTTTAATTAATAGCTATATTGGATAATGCTACAGTGGGATAGTGGAATGTTATCGAATTTCTGGGGTAAGCATTTTTAAAGGCCGAAAAATTTCGTCCGAAGTATTGAAAAAAGATATACTCAATGAAATGGGAATTGGGGGTACCCACTTTCCAACCCATTGTCTCGGCAGGTCTTTATGGCTATGGATTATAGACTCTGTTTTAATTAATAGCTATTGGATGATGATACAGTGGGAAAGTATCGAATTTCTGGGGTAAGCATTCTTAATTGCCGATAAATTTCGTTCGGAGTATTGAAAAAAAAGAAGAAAGTACTTAATATTAAAGCAAAAAAAAAAAAACATCGTACAGTATGAAAATTCTGGACTGTTCATTATTTCGATGACAGTAAAAAGAAACAAGTTCGGTCCTGCGTCCCATATTTCTACCATAATGTAATTTTATCTGCTAGATCTTCATCAAACACATACTAAGTTCAAAGAACGCACCTTAGGAATGTTTACACCAAACATTCGATTGTATCAAAATGTAGTACTATCTAATAGCTTTTGTCACTAGAAATTATTTTTGCAGTCATACTGTGAAATTGCTTTCCATACACTCGGCATCATGCTATTGAGTGAAGGGGAAAGTACTACATTTAAAGGTAGTAAATTCCATTGTGTAATTGTAATAGGGAAAAATGAATATTCGTAGAAGTCTTAAGATGTAAGAAGATGTCTGTAAGAATATGGATGGGTATGCCGGGTTATATTGTCTGTTGGTTACAGTAATATTGAGCATAGGTACTTGGGGACAGGACAATTGGTTTTAGCTCTCCCCCTTTTTTCCAAAATTGGTTATTTTTTTGTTTTCTATTAATTTCAATTATGTACGCGTTTTTCTGAATCATATGAACATACATATATATAGAAGAAATAACTTGTATTTGCTATTTACTATCAATTCCAAGTTTACTATCCACAGCGGTCACTGATGGTGGTGAGACTTTAATAAAATATTGAATCTGAACCTGTTTTATATAGATACTAGTATAAATATATAAATAACCGATTTTGGAGAAAAAAGGGGGAGGGCTAAAAAATATTGTCCTCTCCCCAAGTACCTATGATACTGAGGGTACTGCGACGATGTGGTGTACAATTTTATAGAATATTATGAGTCTGGTTTTAAGTCTGCGTTGTTGTAAGGTATGCCAGTTCAGAGTATTAAGCAAGTCTGTAACGCTACTGGTGTTATATGATAAACAATTACAGGCATACCTAGCAGCCCGATTCTGGACCATCTGAAGTTTAGTGCAGTGTTCAGCAGTATGAGATTCCAAACCGAACAAGCGTACTCTAGTTTTGGACGTACCAGTGCTAGGTATATGCCTGTGACTTAATGTTTATGATAGGTGTTTGATGTTTCTTTTAAGGAAACCTAGGCTTTACATGTTTTATTTGCATTTGCGATACTATTTTTTGTATGTTGAGTCCATTTTAATTCAGATTGAAGAGTAATGCCTAGATGTTTTGCTGAAGAGACGGATTTTTAGGTATGACTGCGAATAATGTAATTATGTGTTATAGGAGTTTTGTTATTCGAGGCAGTGAGAACTGTACATTTGTCATGATGGAAAGCCATCAGCTAGTCTTCTTCCCACTTTGCAGCAGCATCAAGATCTTTCTGAAGGCTATCACAATCTTTTTTAGATTTCATTTGATAGTTTTGTATATGATGCTGTCGTCTGCAAACAGTCTGAGTTTACTGGATTTCAAATATTCTGATAGGTCGTTTATGTAGACCAGAAAAAGAACAGGCCCCAGAACTGTTTCCTGTGGGACACCAGAAGTAACTGGATCAACTTGATCTGATGACTCTCCATCCAGGACTAGTGTTTGTGTTTGTGTGCAGTTTGTTTAATGTTTCATTTTGTATACCATAAAAATTAAGTTTGTATAATATAGTATTTGGCGTAGGACTTTGTCAAAGTCACTACGTTCAACCGTATGGAATTATATGAGGGTATGCCCTTTACCGTCCGGCGTCAAACGGTCATTTTCGGCTACCGTTAACGTCAAATTAGTTAAAATTTTATCGTGATTCGTCAAAATTTCCTTTTCGTAATTCGTCACGGGTCTCAAATAATTATCCGTCACCGTTATTTTTTGGAAAAAATTAATATATCGTGATTCGTCAATCATTCAGTCGATTTTTTTTTTGTCGTCACAAAGAAAATGTACACTTTATCGTCATGCACCAAAAATTACTATTAACGCCATTTAGCAAGATTGTTTACCGTTATTCGTCATGAAGGTACCGGCCCTATTACGACCCTCTTATATAATATACACGACTGAGTGCCCACTGAGATAATGTTCAATTTAAATTTCATACAGAATTTTCATAGATTCCTGACCAAATAAAAATTAGAAAAAATGAACAGTTCATCATGTTCATATAATCTTTTACTCGATTTATAATTCATAAAATCAGGAAGAAACGACCCTATTCTTCTTTTGATACTGTTTTTTTAGATGTATTTATCAAAATATTTAAACTTTTATGAATAAAAATTCGTGATTTTTAAATGAAATATTTTATTTGGTGATCTGATAATTAATTATTAAATGTTAATTATGTATGATTACTGTTAATTGGTATTTACAAAGACACATTTGGTATTATTGTTCTGTGTTTTGAAATCATGATTGTTGTTATAACTAGATGTTAATATTGCAAGTAGTTAGCTTGGTATGCGTATACGTAAACTCAATGAAGAATTGGTATCTTTCGCCTTTCTTTCATAGTTTAAGATGAACGAACTTTGCTTTGATCGTCACTTGGACACCATATATTGTATAATAGTCCAAGATCATCATGACAATTTTTTAATCATGATTCATTTCGTCAAAATAATTAATAAAACACTAAAGGAAACCTGCTTACGTTTTTATAATGTCACTTTATTTTGAAACAATAAAAAAAACTTATTTACAGGAATACACTAGTTTAAACACGATTAAATATTTATTTCACCCCCCCCCCCCCCAAACCCGCCCCCCCCCCACCCCACCCCCACCCCCCAAAAAAAAGGTGCGAACAGACCCAGGGTGCGAACGTCAGAGAGGGCGAACGTGAATGGTTGCGAATGTAATTTTGGCGACACGAGAATCAGGGCGAAAATACCTGGGGCGAACATGAATCATGCCGAAATACCTATGTTTTTGCGCAACATCTCTGACTTTTTCCGATAAATGACGGAGACAAGACTAGAGAGATACGAACGAGTGATTGTAAAATAAAACGCACTTGAATCTATTGTGATTGACTCCAGAAACAGCAGCTTTCATAGACCACAGGTTCTCTTCTTTACATATTTAAAGAAAATCGTTAACCTCCTGCACTAATCAAATGATTTTGAAGTTGAAATCGCCACAGTTTCATAATTAATTGGGAAATCACAGACCGTAACTGTATCATATCTCGAACATCCTTCTTTCCACTGTTCTATAAAAAAATACATGTATGGTCAGATCCTATGTTTTCGTACGTCATATGCATTCGTACTATGCATGCTTTTTCAATGGAAATTATGAAGTCACAATGCATTCTTAACAGCCCGAAAACCCATGAGACGAGGACTGGTACCTGGCCGTTATTGACAAGCTTGACAATATTTGTATATATTCTGAAGGCATGCTGAATATTTTACGGAGGGGACAAACCTAAGTCTGAAAATACTTCTCATGAGAATTATATTTCGATTGCTTTCTTTTTTATTTGCTAACATTGTTGATGTGTATGTTTGAAGAGGGTAGGACCTTTATCGGGACTCCGGGATCGGGTGTTTTTGAGCTCTGGATTTCGGGATCTGCGAATTCTTTTTTCGAATTTCAGGATGTCGGGATTTAAATTTTTTTAAGTTCGTGACCTCCGGATTCCATGTTTTTAAGCCGGGATTTCGGGATCAGGACCCCTCCTACCCCCACCCCCCTCTATGTTTCCCTTTACGGAAGTTTTTGCCCTTGAATAGAGATGTCATTCGTATTTTGTGTATCATGCAAGAGTTCACGTTTATGAATCGGTAATATGACATGTATGAGGTGAAAGGGGACGAAGTCTGTATACATTATTTTTTAAATTGAAGCCTATTTTGACTTAGCCTCACTGGACACAATTAGGAACGATTTTTGAACTTTGATAATATTTTTTTTTTGTTGAATACTTTCATTTGTGACTTTTCTTGAATTGTATATACCATAGAATTTAAGATGTATGAAGGCTTTCCATTTTGCATCATAACCTACATAATTTTCTATTCACGCTAGGATACTTTAGTAAGATTTGCGTGACCTGGTTTTACAGGTCAAGGGAGCCAAATATGGACGCAATTCCGAACAGCACTATATTAATATATCTGGCAGAAGAAATCAATGACAACAACCTAGATTGATAAAACATACATTAATCCAATCTCAAACACATTTCCAGAGGAAAATAAGAAGTGCAAGTTTGTATTTTTCTTCAAATACTTCAGCTGTGTTTCCCATTTATTTGTATTGTGGTCCTGTCATGTGATGTTGTCGTTTTTGGTGTTGTGTTTGACGTTGCCATAAAAGCGGGAGGTTTGGCATGCCACAAAACCAGGTTCAACCCACCATTTTTTTCTTAAAATGTCCTGTACCAAGTCAGGAAAATGGCCATTGTTATATTATAGTTCGTTTCTGTGTGTGTTACATTTTAATGTTGTGTTATTGTTGTGTCGTTGTTCTCCTCTTATATTTGATGCGTTTCCCTCAGTTTTAGTTTGTAACACGGATTTGTTTTTATCTCTATCGATTTATGAGTTTCGAACAGCGGTATACTACTGTTGCCTTTATTTTGCAGACAAAATGTCTGTCATGTGTAAAGGAAAGATTTTGGAATTGTTTAGTTTTTATGTAAGTTCCTCCTTCTAAGGAGCACTAAATTCAAGTTTCTCCATTTGGTTGGTGAACCAATCATTCACCTATGATTTTTATACGACCGCAAATTTTTGCGGTCTTATATTGGTATGACGGCGTCGTCATCGTCGTCGTCGTTGGTCGTCGTCATCATAGTCCAAAGACACATTGGTTTTCGCACTCTTACTTTAGTTTAAGTTAATGGATCTCTATGAAATTTTACCATAAGGTTCAATACCACAAAAGGAAGGTTGGGATTGATTTTAGGGGTTATGGTACCAACAGTTAAGCAATTAGGGGTCAAAAAGGGGCCAAACATAAGCATTTTTGTAACATCCAGACATAACTTGTGTGTTAGTGTATGGATCTCTCTGACATTGTACCACAAGGTTCCATATCACACAGGGAATGCTGGGATTGATTATGGGGGTAATTGCCTCAAAATATTAGGAATTAGGGGCCAAAAAAGAAGCATTTTTCTAGTTTCATGACAATAACTTGTGTGTAAGTGTATGGATCTTTCTGAAATTGTACTACAAGGTTCCATATCCCAAAGGGAAAGCTGAAATTGAGTTTGGGGGTAATTGCCCAAAATATTAGGAATTAGGGGCCAAAAAAGGGCAAAAAACAAGCATTATTCTAGTTTCCAGACAATAAATTGTGTTCAAGTGTATGGATCTCTCTGAAATTGTACTGCAAGGTACCATACCACAAAGGGAAGGCTGTGATTGATTTTGGGGGTAATTGCATCAAAATTTTAGGAATTAGGGGCCAAAAAAGGGGCAAAAAACAAGCATTTTTCTAGTTTCAAGACAATAACCTGTGTGTAAGTGTATGGATCTTTATGAAATTGTACTACAAGGTTCCATATCACAAAGGGAAAGCTGGGTTTGAGTTTGGGGGTAATTGCCCTAAACGTTTAGGAATTTGGGGCCAAAAACGGGCCAAAAAACAAGCATTTTTATAGTTTCCATCCAATAACTTGTGTTAAAGTGTATGAATCTCTCTGAAATTGTACTGCAGGTACCATACCACAAAGGGAAGGCTGGGATTAAGTTTGGGGGTGATGAATCATAAGGAGGTTCAAAAAATTTGGGGGGGGGGATTTTTTTTTCTTTAAAATTTTCCATTTTAAATTGGTTATTTCTGATTTATATATAAAAGCAAATAATAATGATATGGTTTGAATAGGTAAATTATAAATTTTTAAGTTCTTAGACCACATTTATTCTGTGTCAGAAACCTGTGCTGTGTCAAATATTTAATCACAATCCAAATTCAGTGCTGTATCAAGCTTGAATGTTTTGTCCATACTTGCCCCAACTGTTCAGGGTTCGACCTCTGCGGTCGTATCAAGCTGCGCCCAGCAGGAGCATTTTATTTTTATATAGTTCAACATTACTTTCGGAGCTCTCTGGACTTTTCAATAAAGTTACCATATTTTCTTTTGACAATGATTAGGGTCACAAGAGTCGATAAAACGTTAATTTTGGGGTTATTTGGGCAAGATAAAAGGCATCACTCATATGAACAGAATCAAGAGACATTTTTCTTTCTATATATTAACAAAAGAAGGCAATATGCACCTAATTTTAAGTTTTTTTTTTTATAATTTCCAGGAGAGAGTGTTGTTCTTTTAATATTTTCAGAATGATTTTGACATCGTTATCAACATTCACCAAGTGCATATGAATTATTATATCATGAACACAAGGGCATTTTAGTAGGGTTTTTATTTATAGAAACATTTATTAATTATCATATATAAATATGATTTCAGAGGGCAAACATTTGAAATCGTTCTTAATTGTGTCCAGTCGTAATTGCGTTGGGTGGGGCTAAGAATCTGTTTTAAAAAAAAGAAACAGAAATACGGAAACATTTCCAATGTTGGTCCTGGTGTTAGGGACTTTAGTTGTGACATTATTTTCAATGTAAACAAAGAAACACTATGATTTCATTAGTATGTTGATTTTTATATTGATTTTTAGTTTTCTTGATTTGCTTAATGTTATAAGGCACGTCCCCCATAATATTTTACTCAAATCCCGAGATAAACGATACTGGAAAAGATTTCTGCACAGATGCGGGAAAATAGAAAAAGTTAGAAGAAAAAAAGTTAACGATCTTGAGTTCATTAGTAGATTGATTTTTTTTTTTTTTTTTTTTTTTTTTTTTTTTTTTTTTTTCATTGATTTTTCTACTGTAATTAGGGACTTCGTCCCCATATAATTTTAGGCACTGGCTACGAATACGTTGAAATGTAACAATAATAAAAGAAGTTATTGTTACGTTGGACAATAATTGCTGGAATGATTTGTTGGGTAAGGAACCGATTCATTACGAACATAGCAATAACATTTGTTTCTACGGTTACGTTCGTTATTGTTACGTTAGATTTATCATGTTTATTAAACGTTTAACCTACTTCAAGATAATACTACAGTTTAGTAGTGCCAATGGCGAAAAATATAGTTCAATGGTTCGATGTTTAGAGAAAAAAAGTGTTCACTTCTATGTATTTAACTTCACACCTTTACCCTTATTACTGTCATTATACTTTGAACAATGGACAAAGTGATTCCTATTACCAAATTTGTTTTGGGTGAAATTTAGAATTTAAAACTTTAGATGCATTTGAATCAAAACTAAAACAATATCAAGAATAAAATTTTATTCAGTTATTATGAACAAATGCAGTTCGCAAAAAATTGATACATCAAAAGCAAAGTTTGACAGCAGTTAACTTATTGATGGTCCGAGTTGTCTCCCGGCAGAGTTGTCCCCCAACTTAAAATACTGCGAAATTCTATATGCGTGTTTGTTACGAATAAAAGTTTTCAAGTTGTATTTTACTAGTAATACATATTACTAGTCCCAGCATACATTGAAGTGCATTAACTTAACAATAACATAATGTAACCGTAGACACAAATCTTATTGTTATGTTCGTAATTAATCGGTTCCTAACCCAGCCTAGCATTCCGGCAATTAATGTCCAATGTAACAAAAACTTTTTTATTATTGTTACATTTCAACGTAATCGTAGCCAGTGCCATAATTTTATCATTGTCTGCTAAGGTATAAACAATGAAAATACTATGCTGTAGAAAATATATGAGGTTAGATAATGATAACTGCGGAACTATAGCTCATAAGTCCTTATATTGTTTGACCATTTTATGGACCATAGATCTATGGTCCGCTAATTGTCAAAAAATATCATAAGGACATATGAGCTACAGTTCCGCAGCTAAGATAATGAATGCTTTAAAATTTGGAGACATTTTGGCCACGCTACATTCATAATGTTCTTAACATATATACATCAGTCAGGGGTAATTATTATACAAGTCATTTTTATTTACTTGAAGATGTTATATTTATTTCAGTGATGAAAGTTTTTAATTGACATG